GCGGGGCTGAAGGAGGGGGTTGCAAAATGGCGCTGCTTGCTCCCTACAAAAGGATTTGGAAGTCGGAGGTGCCCAGTGCTCACCCAGCCCTGGCCCACAGCCGGGATGGGATCCGGGCGCCTTGCCCAGAGCCAGGGTTTGCAGGCAGCAGGGAGTTTTGCGGACCCTCTCGCCACAGCTGTCACGATCCTGCTGGACATTGGGGCCAAATGCCGCTTGGGATCTCCAAATCACAGCCCTGCACTGGAGATTGGAGGGTGTCTGGGCTGGGGCGGTGGCAGAGGACGTCTGGGGGCTGTTAGCAGCAGGTTTCAGAGTCCTTCTTCTCCCTTGCACCAAATAAATAAATAAATCTCGGGGGGGTATAATGCACCGTAGCACTTTAATCCTTCTGGTGATAAAGTGGATTACAATGCTATTTGGCTAGCCACCGTGCACAGAGCCAAACTGTTATAACGGGATTCAAAACCCTTCCCTAACTCAGAGCAGACACGCTTGTTGCTTTAAAAAACAGCTAGAAGACAGCTTGGCTACGTAAACCATGCTACGACCCTTTTTGAATATAAGATTCAACTATTTATGCCCTGTTTTAAATATGCTGCTTTTTGTAATTCAACAAGCTCCTTCAAGTCCTACAGAGACGGAGACGGGTGGTTTTTACAAGAACACCGCAAACACACTTTTTACAAGAACATTTTTCACGCTCTCCAAATAGTTAAAGCTGCGTTTAAAAAGCTAGTAACTCCTTGAATGAAGAAGATCTGTTTTACCCAGCCGTACACAGCACCTCGCAAAGCATCGGCACCCGGCTGGGCTGTGATTGCACTGCAGTCCCCTGCCGTGTACGTCTGGTTTTTGGGGCAGGGACCGATGCCAGCTAAGGAACGAGGACACACCGCCCACCTTCACCTTCTCCCCAGGGTGCAATAAGCAATGCTGGGAGGAATTGCTCTTAACAGGGGGAAAATGCAAAAGAATTCACTGAGCCTCATCTCCAAAGGGACCAGCAAAGCCGGCTCGTTTCTTCCACGCGCATGGAGCACCTTAAAACTTGCCCTGCGTGCTGGGTTCTGCAGCCAGCAGCATGAGCAGTGCTCCTCTAATTAATACGTCCTTGGAAGGAGCTGCCACTTAGCTGGGGAACTCTGTTGCCTGGCCGTGTTTCTCCAAGGGGAGACATCAGGGCGACCGTACGCTTGAAGGAAGACAGGTTATGAGGTAATGCATCTAATGTGATCGAGAACGAAGGTGACTGATAGAAGTGCGGTAAATACGTGATTTTTCTCTGCTCGGCAAGTGAATTTTCATCCCAGCATAGCACCACGTCGTAAGGTGCCGCTGCCACACCTGGGAAAGCTCGTGGGAGGACAAAGAGCAGAAAGCGGCAAGAAGGACAAAGAGGCTCCAAAACACCCCCCCCTGCAAATCTCCCCCCCTCCATTCATACCCCTGCCAAACAGGCAAACGGGGGGTGGCGGTTGCAAAATTGTCTTTCCTCGTTTAGAGCCGCCTGTGTCAGCCTGTCATGCTCAGGGAAAATAGTGGCAGATCAATAGAGGTGTCTGCGCTGACACTTTTACCGTCTTCTCCTTTAAGATACACTGAATCGCTCATCAGCCTTCCCAGTTAACAAGCCTTTCAGTGGGAAGAAAGACACAGGTTTGTTTCTAAGCGTGCGCTTCTCTGCCAACCTCCAGACCTCTCATAAAGGAAGAGGTAAGCGATGGACTCTGGTCACGGTCAGAGATCTGGGCTGTGACAGCATGCTGACATAACTTTACTGGAGAGCCCTCCAGTCTAGCTATGGGTCTGTGACAGCAGAAGCTGGTGCAACCTTTCCCTGGAGGGTACCAGGGCTCCCCTGCTCTCTGCCCTTCACCGAGTCCTTTACGTGATGCCCAATTTCTGACACACAACATTTCTGACACCAACCATGGGTCCCCGGCGTGGGCTGGACCCCACCACCATCCCTGAGCGCTCCTCTGGATGGAAGGAGCGAGAATGGAAGTCCTGCTGCAATTTGACTTTAATGGAGTTATGCACCTTCGCACTGATTGAAGACCTGACCTATGTGAGGGGTGTCAACGTGCATAATCACACCAGAATACGATGCCTGTCATTTATCATTTGCACCAGTCGGCCAGGAACCCCTTCACCCGGGTGCTGTGGAGATATGGAATAAAATAATCTCTTTGCAAAGAGCTTACAATTTTGGAGTAAGCACAAACATTTAAGCCTTGAAGGGAAGGGAGAGAAACGACATTGCTCCTAGCCCTCGTTTCCTAGCAGGCTTGTATTCATCGACCAAGAACCTTAATACAGTTTTCACTCCACTTGTCAATTGTTAAGATAGATCTGGGGGCTGTCAACAAAATGTTACAGTTGAAATGACCCAGCTAGAAATAATAGACTATGAAACATCAAAGTAGTCATAATACTCTAAACCATCACAGAGGAATACATTCGGCCCTTTCGTTTTTAATGGTCCCTCGGGTGTCCTTTGGTGTACAGGACAGTTTGGGGGAGATTTCCCTGTCCCAGCTTCAGAAGTTTCTGCACCAGGTTGCTGGGGGGAGGAACCACAGCCTCCCTGTGCATCCCCGGGGGAGAAACGCGCACCCCGAGCAGCAAGTTCATCTGGCTTGTCTCCGACACCGGTTTTTGGACAAGGTGCCTTGCCGGCTGGAGGTGACCACCTCTCCACCACCAGGCAAGAGGTGGTGGGGCGAGATGTCTTCTCGCTCGGGGACAACAGGCTCCTACCACTGGCGGGTGGGCACCCATAGAGCAGTGATGGGCACAAAGGGGTTCGTCCGACCCACCCGTCTCTTTTGGGTGCTGGCACAAAGCGGTGGTGAGTTCCTTACAGAGCCGGTGGGAAACCAAAGTGAACACCTTGGGAGAGGATCAGAGCTGAAGCCCACCATATTTACCCAGCTGGGAGTGAGCTGGGTAACTCGGGAGCACCTTCAAAGCATATTTCACTTTACAGTCAGAGGGGTTTTTTCAGAGCAGAGAGGTTTCGTGTCAGCTTGTCCATCTGCCTGATGTCTCAAGAGGCCCATGTGGGGAAACACGTGCCAGCGGGTTCCCACTGCAATCCTATCGGGGGAGCACCTCCCACCCAGGTCAAGATGATTCTCAGTGGGGCTTCACTGGCACATTGGACCTTCTCCTAGAGGCTCCCGTTTGTTTCCGAGAGAGTTTTCCATCCAATGCCTACTTTCAAGAGCTGCCAAGGCAGTACCGAGATTGCTCGTCTCTCTACCAGGCTTTGGATCTGAGCAGTGAAGAGCTTGGCCATGGGGGATTTTAATAAACCAAAATGCCCTATGTGTTTAACAGAGAGGAACAGAAGCATCAACTTTGTTTTGGTATGCTCAAAGGTAAAATGCTGCAGCTCCTACAATAGCAAATCTGCAACTTGAGAGGACCTGAACTGATAGAGTCAGGTCTAGTCCTAGATACCAGTGGAGCAGTCAGTGGACACCCCTCTGTGTGTTTATGGGACCTCATCAGACAAAGCCACTGGCACTGAAATTGTGTTGTGACCTTCAATAACCTTTTTTCTGCCTTTTTTTTTTTTTTAAATAATTAAAATTACAAATGAAAGTAGCAGGCGACAGCCACATAAAAGGGGTCGAGCACAGAAGCATTCATTTACAAAATCTCCCCATGCACTTAGGAAAGCGGCTATTTCTTTTAGCCATTCGCATGGCCAGATCCTTTCAGATAATGACAGGGCTGCACGGGGTTTTTTTTTTTTAAATATGTCAGCGGAGGACCATGATGCCGGGAGATGGGAGCCCGCACCGGAGCAGTCCGTCCCCCGGGAGTGTCTGCCCTGGCCGGCAGTGCTCGCCGGGCTGAGCACAGTCTTACAGGGAAATCCTCCCGGAGCTGGCAGCCTGGTAGAATCAACATCTCCCTGCCTGAGTGCAGCCTGAGACTGGAAATACAACTCTGGAAAATCTGCCTTTTTTTTGGGGGGGGGGGGGGGATGCTGCTCTGAAGAGGGATTTACCCCATCAACGGACCTCCGGGGGACCTGCAGCTCGGGAAAGATGCTCCCCGCAACCCCTCCGAGTTCATCGCAGGGAGCCCAGCAGAGCCAAAGATAAGTTGTCCTGAATTAAATTCATTTCTGAGCTTGCGTCGGGCTAGCGGATTGACATCGCAAGTCAGGTTCGCGAGGACTTCCCACGAAACAGAAGCCACTTTGTTAAAGTTGGTCATTCGCTACCGCGATAAAGTAATTAAAGCCTCCCAGCCGCTTTCTCCCCCTGCTGCTCCTTCTCTATGTACAAACATCAGGGCTCTGGCATAGACAGAGCTGTTGACACTTTGTCAGTGAAAATCCAGAACTGTGCGAGTAAGAGAAATGTTTTTCGGGGGCTATAAATAGTTTTGCATTAAGGCAAATATATTCTGCCACCTAAAATAGATTCACCTTGCAAACGGCTTAAGGACGGTTTCGGCACCAGAGGAACGCCTTCAGACTCCGCTCAGGAGACAAAAACAGCCTTTTTCTCCCAAAAAAGCAAACAAGACCAGCAGCCGGAGATTCCTTTGCTGCGACCCCCCCCTCGCTGCTCCCCACCACCTGGCAGCATCCCGCTGTGCTTGGGAGACCACCCAGCATCCTTCCACCAAAAAAAGGACCTTAATTCATCCGGCTAACTTTTCCAATCATTTTTTTTCCCGGCCTCTCGCAACACCCGTGCTCATTCCAGGGGTGAGAGGGATGAGGAAACTTTGGGGAGGGGGAGCAGCGACTTCCCACGACGGCTTGGAGCAGCGGGTTGCTTCTCCTTCGCTCCGAAGGGAATCGCGCAGCCAGACAATGCAAACACCCTCTTTGCCAGGGCTGCAATGTGTTAACAGCACTTTCCCCTTGCTGCCAGAGCATCGTTTCGTTCCCTGCATAGAAACACCAGCGCGGGGGGGAAGGGGGGAAAGACGAGAAGCTGCCAGAAGAGAAAAAATAATTTTTGACTCACCTTTAGGCTGTGTGTTGGGTTGACGACGCAGACAAGTTGCCCGGCAGCGGAGAAAACCCTCTTTGCCTTGTAGTGCTGAAACCGCAGGTGAATGAGATCTAACACAGCCCCAAAGCACTGGGTGAAGAAAAGCATCACAACTTTTGGCGTTGCTGCTGCTGCTGGCGGTGGGCAGGGGAAGCAGCCAGGGAGCCCCTGAGTCCTTGAGCCCGGGGAGGGAGTGCGGTCGGTGAGAGCTACGCTCCGGCACGGCTTAGCATGCCTTCATATTCATCATCAAAATAAGACGGGAAGAGGCTTGCAGCAGCGGGGCGGCCAATGGAAAGGACAGAAATGTTATCCTTGAGGTCCGGAGACAGCCAATAACGAATGCCTCCCCTCCAGAAATTCCCTGATGAATTGAGCCTGGTGGAGAATGTATTATTGAACATTACCATACATCAGCACATTGCATTTATCTTGTGATTACAGCCAGTCATACGTAAGGCTGGGGAGATGTGCAGGCAAAATTGATTGCTTAACGTCTCCATTTATTAATTGCCTTAATTTAACAAAAGAGCGCTCGGATACCGAAGCTAAATGTAAGGCGCAGGGAAGGAGCTCACCAATGAAACTGTTAGAAAGTAGCAAAAATAGATTAAGCAGGCTCTGTTTTACTGAGGGAGAAAAATCAAATATGCAAAGACAGTTACAGTTCCTTGCAGGGGTTAAACAGAAGTAGAGCTCGCTATATAAATAGATTCACGTCTGTGCATTTGCAGGCTTTGATTTGGATTTTCACCACTCTGAAGTTTTCTAAATTGTATATTCTGCTACTTCACAAGAGTCCCAGAACACAACCAACATCCTGCCCCCCCCCCCCCCCCCCAAAAAAAAATAGGAGAGGTCAGGTCTCGGGTCTGGTGTAACTTGGAATAACTCCATTTAAAGTCAGCAATGTTTTCCTGATTTACACTTGCCGGTGGATCAGGTCCGTTGGACACAAAACATGGCAATTACTGGATGCTGGAACTATGAGAGCATAAAAAGGCACAGAGCATGCTTCTAAAAATAATGAAATACATGATGCATGAGAGCACACACAGAGAGAAACTTGCACTGAGGGAAAAGTGGCTTCTAAATCAACAGAATAATTAAACATGCAGAAGGCTTTTGCTTGTCATTCATCTGCATATCGGTGGGCAGGAAATTGTGAATTAGCCATTAGATCATCCTAGGCATTAAAAAGGAATTAGGGAAGTGCAAGGAAAATAACACGCGTTTGCGTATTATTACCCGTGCGTATCTCTGTTGGTGGGCAGGGATCCTTTTCGAGCCATTGACTCTCATTAAACTTGAGTCCCCATAACCGGGTTTTCCGGGAGGTGACTGCGCCAAAGCAGCCAAGGGAATCAGAAAGCACGTTCATTTCATGGGACAATCCTGTGTGATATGTTGCTCTGCTTGTTAATAAATCAAAGAGGGTTAATTTAATTAGCTCTCTGCCAGAACTTCCTATCAGGGTGCTATTTAGGCTTGCTAGCTAAGTACTCAGATGGCTTATTTAGCCTTGGTAATCCTTTTTTCCCTTCAAAGCAGAACAGATAAAAGTAGCTTTTCTTTCCTTTTTTTTTTTTCTGCTTCTTTTTAAACGTGAGCCCTGCGCTGGGGGTGAGGCTGCTGCTTCAGCCTGGGACTGGATTGTCACAACTGCCTCTTCCTAAATCGATACTGCAATACTGGCTCTGCCAGACTGCAGAGAGCCTGTGCGTAAAAAAAAAAAATAAAAAAAGGAGGCCTGTGTAGATAAATAAGTGGGAAATTGTGAATGCTGGAACAGCTGACAACACAACCCCTCCCCAAAACATTAAAGACGGGAGGAATATGTATCTTTCAGTTCTTAACATTGGCTTGTAAATGAGAACAGGGGATAATTTTTGCAGCACTGAGAGACACTTTGAGAATATTTGCAGACAGACTTGAGGACAAGTGAGTGAAATGATTTGCTTAAATGTATCCTCTTCTCTGTTCCCAAAGTAACTGCGAGCATCCAGCTATTTATTATTTACTTCTTCCTGATTTGTAGTTGGTAGCTGCACAAACACTTTATACCAGCAAATTTCAGCCTGTAAGTTAACAGTGCAATTATTCTGCCATCAAAGCCTTAAACGAGCAAAAGGTCCTTGCTATTTACGTTCGTTATTGCCACCTAAATCCCCTGGGATTATTCCTGTTTGACCGATCGACTCGACTGAAAGCCTAGGTTTTGGGGGGGCACGAAGACATCCGTGGGCAGCGGAGACGGCACCCCTCATCCCTGCTGTCCAGCCACCTCGGGGCTTTGGCAGTGCCACAGTCCAGCCACCCTGAGACCCATCTGCCTTTCTGGGGGGGCTGGAGAGGTGTCCCTGATACCACAGGAGCACAGGGACGTCTTCAACCTAAATATACATCCTGGGCGCTGGGCTGGTATACAAGAAGGGTTGTCGTTCTTGCGAAGAAAAGACCGCTTTCAAGGGTGGGCAAGGGACCTTTGCCGTGCCCAAATCCCCACAGGTGTCTGTGCCCATCTTGCTTTCTACATACGACCTTCTGAGGAGCGTCTCCCGGCCAGCAGTATTTGTGGAAATGGGCGAAAACGAGCGCTCAGCGCATCTGAAGGTAACTCCTGCTCGGTGAGCGAGTTACGTTCATGGAGATGCTTTTGGGAAATGTTTTATTGCCCATATTGTTCACGTCCCGAGACCCACATGCAGCACACGACTTAGCACCGGCTTGACAAACGGACCCTACACCCACCCAGCCACAGCAGCTTTGCTTGCAAGCAAAAATCTCAGCAGCGTGGTCTAGCGCGCGGATGTGGGTCCAGGTCTTTCTTCTGCTTTTGCACACAGGGGCTCTCAACCAGCGCAACTCCTTTAATTTGAGTTCTTGGTGGTTTCATCCAGGCTTGGGGACGCAAGGTCTGCTGTCCTACCTGGGCTCAAACCACGGAGCGGGTCCTCAACGGCATTATTTAGCTGTGTGGATGCAGCCAGAGGGAGGAGGGATGAATCCACGTGCAAGGGGCACTTGATGAATCCCATTTAACTGCTGGTTGCAAATTTCTGGCGACTGTAGCCGTTATTTCCAAGACAGTTAATTCTGTAACATGCAAGTGTGACATGGCAAAAGGCCATAGGCTAAATCTTCATTAGGATTCAGATTTTGCCAAATTAACTGCTCTAGTGGCATCACCGTAATACACATGGGATTATAATGCTCTAATAGCTCAGCTGCTGGTGCAGCTGCATCAGGTTAGCACGATAATAGGATCAGCCAGACATAAAAACTGGTCACAGTGGTGCTAGGTTTCCAGTTTGCCTGCTTGGCTTTTGGTCTGTGCTGCTGAGGTGAAAGGGAAACGCTCGTGGGAAACCGTGGTTGTCCAGGCACTGCGCAACTTGGCAGGACAACAGCCTGGGAGATGCATCGTTTCCACACTCACTACTTATATTTCCCTGGGGCAGGGAAGGACCCCTTTTACACCCTCAGCCCTCCTTCAAGGGGTGCTAGTCGGCTTTTTAAACAGGTCCCTGCCACCTTCTAGCCAAGGTGCGAGTCCATTTTCTGCCTGGCTGGGGGCTGGAGGAGAAGGATCCATGCCAACTAGGCACCTCTCCTGTGCTTGTCTACATCTGAGTGCATCAGCCCAGCTCCTTTTGTAGGTTTGAGGGGAATGGGGCACACTGAGGATGCATTTCCCCTGCCCTGGCTGGGACATCAGGCAGTTTTCTACATCCTTTGGATGTAAACCCAGTGTATGAAGCTTTGTCTGCTCTCCTGGGTCTCACGGCAGGTTTTGAGGAGAGGTGTTTGCACTGCCAGTTATCATTTCCCTCTGTTGTCCACCAGACCTTTTAACCAAGAAGATAAGAAACGTCTCACTAGCTCAGTGCAATGGTCCTCCAGCCCAGCACCCTGTCCCCAGCAGTGACTACAGGAGATGGCATTTCGAGCCAGGTTGTAGGCAGGGGCCACCACCCGTCATATTGGGGCATTGGAAGGCAAATGCCTGGGGAAGCAGAACCAGCAATTTTTAAAACTGGGAGAAGAGTCGTAGCCCTCCAGCCTGCCCCCTGTAAAGCACACGTCACTTCATATCAACTGCCTTGTGTTTTGGTTGGAGCCCACCCTTTCCAAAAAGCCTGGCTTTGAAGTTTCCCACAAAGGACACCGGTGGCACCTCCTGGTAAGTTCTTCCAAAGGTTATTTATCTTCACCACTAGGATTTTTTATCATATTTCCAGTCTGAATTATTTTCCTGCATACGCTTCTGCCTGCAGAAAGTCATTGTGCTTTCCCTTGCTGAGCTGGGGCAGCCTCTGCCATCACAGCCCTTCTCCATGTGAAGACACAGTTTTTGCCCAAAACCTCCTTCAACAAACCCGACAGAAAAATAGTGTTTCCTTTGCAAAGCGCCTTTCTTGCCCACGAGCAGGTCACTCTTGCAGCTTCTCGATGCATTTTCTTTACCTCCTCATCTCTTCTTGACCCTGATCCGCTCCTCACTGCTGATGTGTGCAGAATCCAACCGACCCATTTGGCTTACTCCATCACGGTGCGCTGCTTACAGCTGTGACACATCCACTCCTTTGGGTCTCCATTCCCACACCTCCTTTTTGCTTGCAGGACAGATTTCACACCACTTCAGCCCAGCTACGCAGGAGCCAGAGCTGTCAGTGGGCAGGAAGGAGAACTGCAAACTTCCCTGGAAAATGCATGGAGGTACTCCCTCCTCTCGTCTTCTCTGGTGCCTACAGTGATAAGAGGCAAAAACATCAGCAAATCTTTTTTCCTCTTTTAAAAAATGATCTATTTTTTCAAAAGCAAAGTGCTGTCAAAAGTTATTGGCTTTACCAAGTACTTTTTTTATTTGTGGTGAATTATTTTGCCAAATATGCTTTCAAAAATCCATTTTGACTCCATGCAGTGATATAAGCAATAGCAAGCCCCGGAACTGTATGGATGCTTTAAGCAGAAACTGATCTTAAACGTCTCAACAATTTTCATTTTCTCAAAAGGACAGCTTTTATTGGGCAAGAACTGTCAAAAGCAGTCTTTAAATCAGTTAAATAACATGCCAATTAAGATACCAGTGATAAATGCCACAGATA